ATATCTTTTTTACTTACTGCACTGACAAAGCATTCCATGAACTCGGAAACGACCGGCTCCGGGGGGGGGATTTGTATTGGGGTGGTCACGAACTTCTTTTCCCCATAAGAGACATATGTAGGATACTATGACAGCTACCTTAACAGGAAGTTTGAAAGGGACATTTCGTCAAGGAATGAATTGCATAATATTTTTCAGCATGACACAATTACTCCGTAAACGGAAGAAACAAATAACGGTTGCTTTTTTCTTTGACGGATTTACAGACTTGCTCCCCTTCACGGCCAGTCGTTGACTTATTTACTAATTCGTGTTTTAGTTAAGTGTTACTCTTTTACTTTTACCCCTGAAGAAGACACATGTTAACAAATTAAGGAGTCTATTTCTAAAAGCTGATTCTGACCTGCCAAAGTATGAGGCCATTCTTATTGATATTCATTTTAAAGTGTCATTATAAACTAGACTAGGCTTATTACCGACAGAAATGAGCAAATTTAGACAACGGCCGAGAAACCAAACTAAATTGGATCTCGAATGGAATTGCAAACAAGCGATGTTTCACTGAACAAAATACGCAGCGGTCAAGCTAGCAAAGTATTTTGGCTCATCTTTTGTACCATTATTTTTAATGCGGTCCACAACTTGATTTCCTATTCACCATGTTCTGGTTGATTGACTCTTATGTTTCTGGGTTTTAATGTTTATTTTAGAGGACGAAACAAAAGGAGTAATTTGAATAACGTACATAAAAACTGTAGCCAGGTTCGTGCACCTGTTCGCTATCATTTGGGCGTATTGTAAAAGTCTCTTTATTTAGGTAATAACTAGATTTTAAGTGTTCTATTTGAGGTTAAGCTGTGGCGCAGCGGATTAATAGTTTACCTTGAAATTTAGACGCGCGCTTGAGCGTGGGGTTCATCGTGACGTGTTACGGTGCAACCAGTCGATAGACGGGTAACAAGTCTCTGACTGGCGTATAACAGATAGACTATGATGTTCTGGTATGGTCATACGTTAACATGTAAGACATACGACCTTGCTGTGTGATGCGTGCACTTTGACTAATCTGATGGCTGACTGAAAGTCATCACATAGTGTAAACCGTAAATTATAGAATTCTGGTATCCTTAAAACTTTGGCTTAAGTGACAAATTTGTTCACCAACAAATAAAGTGTGACATCACAAATAAATTACCTATAAAATTGGTCACCTCCAGAGCTGTAACTAGTCATAAGTGAAACTGTGACATCTGAATGCCTAAATTCTTAGGATAAAAAAGGTACGAACTAAACCGTATCCTCAGATATTCACACCGAGGCAGGCAGTTATAACAGAATTCATGTGTAATTGCTTACGCGTAAGTGCACGAAGACACTTTGAACTTGTGCGAAT